GGCACACCGGGCAGGTCGCATCAGCGCCGGCGTAGCTTCTCTGTAAGCACCAGACATGATGTCGAATTCTGAGATGCTGGTCACGCGCCTTCGCCGTCGCGAAGCGCGCGTCGCACTGGTGGCAAGCAAATGGGCGGGTGCCGCCTGCGACCGGAGCGGCGCCGCCACGGTCACAGCAAGAGTCGGTGAGAAACAACATGCTCACGGCACTTGCCCAGCGCGCTGGGGAGTCGCTGATGAACGTCACCCAAGCGCTCGCGGTACCCTCCGGCGGCGGCAGCGTGCTGCACAGGGCAACGAGCTCGCGGAGCTTGCCCAGGTCGGAGAAGAGCAGAGTAACCCAGGGCAGGCGCGCCCCGCCAGGCCGCGCGGCGAGCAGGGCCAGCAGCGTGGGCGGTGAACTACGCACCAGGCGCCCTAAGTAGCGGAGACGAGCACGCATCACCAGGCAGTCCAAGCTGGGCTGCTTGAGCCGCGGGCGTATCTCGAGGTCCATTTCGGAGTGGCCGAATCGCGAGGCGTCGCCGACTTGTCGGAGCACCCGCATGTACATGCCGTTGAGCACCTGCAGATATCGCCTCGTAGGGACGACCACGTGCACGTTGAAGAGGAGGCGGCTGAGGACCAACGAGTGCATGAGCCAGATCTTCAAGCTGGCGTCCACGACCGCAGAGCCAAAAACCTTGCTCGCTAGAGGCCCATAGCTCATGGCCGCCTGCTGTCTCGAGTGGTTGGCGCCTGGGGCCGCGGCGCCAGTGGCGCTCACCACGCCGCCAAGGTGCATCTAGGTGGTGACCACCAGCAGTAGTACCCCAGGTCGGGGTACAGCGACTGCAAGACCTCCTTCGGGAAGCACCCGGCGCCGCTGTAGCCGGGCGGTGGCCCCGTGGCCTCGGTACGTGAGGAAGCATTCGGACTTGCCCGCTTTCCAATTGATGGTCAGGTTCCGGCGGTCGTAGATGGCACACACCGTGTGCAACACGACGTCGATGGCAGCGTCCAGCTCCTTGGGCAGACGCGCCGTGAGCATGAAGCACTCGTCGTCGACGAACGCGGCGTCCACGAGAGAGACGACCTCTGGGTCGGCATTCGGCCCAGCGGGATCAGCATCCCAGAAAGCCGGGGACCCAGCCCGCAAGCGGAGCAAGATGCCGGCGTCCAGGAGAGCGTCTCGGATCAGCACCATTGCCAACGAGAACGTGCCATCGAAAACCATGGCGCCGTACTTGCACCCCTACATCCGCAAAGCGCGTGTCATAGCGGACCTGGATCGGAAACGGGGAAATGGGGAGCTGCGTGCATCGGAGGAGGAGGAGGAGGTGGCGGATTGGTAGGAGGATGAGCAGGAGGAAAAGGAGGATGACGAAGGAGGAGGACGAGGACGAACAGCAGCAGCAGGAGCTGGAATAGATGGAGCGGGCGAAGCAGGAGGACCAAGGGGAGGCTGAGAGGGAGACATGATTCTTCGTATGGCAACTGTACATCCAGGAAACATCAGGTACCTACATCTTACAGAATTGTGTATACACGCATTGTCTTATTATCGGTAGTTCTTGCCAGGGCATGCGTTCAAATTTGAATTAAACATGTTTGATGGATAGAGGTTGGCGGCGGGTATGGCCAACGAGTCAAGAATGCATCCATTGGTACCAATCAATTACGGAGGAGGTGAAAGGAGCGGGGCGACAATGATGAGGAAAGACTTGGATCCAGACAGGCGGCCCGCGCTGGGGCGAGAGGACAATTCTGAACGACGTGGGCAAAGCGCCGATCCTAAAATGAGGCCCACGCTGCAGCGGGAGCACGGTTTCGAAGGACCGAGAACGGTCGGATTGCAAAAGCACATGGGATATACCAATGCTTGAGATCCGGAGTGGGTGATAGACATACGCGGAGAGGGCTGGACATCTTCCGGACAGAGTCAGGGGTGAGAGGAGAGTAGTATTCATAATGTGTAGTTATTACAGGGGGAGGAGAAAAATTTTCTTAGTTGCCCTCGTCGCTCACTCCCCCTCGCTGTCGTCGTCCTGCTCCCCCCCCCCCGCCTTCGCCTTGTCATCCCCCTCCATGTGCTCTCTCCCATGGTCCCTCATCCTCCGTTCCCTCCTTGCCCTAGTCCATCTCTTCGTTCGCTCCTCTTTTGCTCTCCTCGTCCGCCTCATCCTCCTCCTCGCTGTCGTCCTGTCTAAAACAAGATATCAGAGAGACATGTCAGACTGATTGTGGCCACGTAGTTTTTGCATCCTCTCGTGAACAACAGAAGAGACGTGGCACGCCACAGCCAGGAAGGAGCAGCAGTCGTGCACAAATGTCCTCCTCGTCATCGTCCTCCTCACTGCTCATCCCCCCTGGTCTTTCCTTTTCGTCTGCTGCTCGTTCTCCTGGATGCTGTCCTCATTCTCTCACGATGCCCCTCCTCGTTCTCTCCCCTTCGCCCTCTCATCCTCATCTTCCCCCTTGTCCCTTACCCTGGGCGGAATGGAAGCCAGAACGTTTGATAAGGCCGACTTCAGGGAATGCAGCATTCGTTTTATAGTTATTATATGTTTCGATTGGAAGGCAGTGTTTGCCAAAATCTTGGGGATGCCATCCCGTTTGCGGTCCTTTCTCCTCTTCCTTTCTTTTCGTCCGCCTCCTTCTTCTTCTTCTTCGCTACGTCTTTTGTGTATTCAAAAATGATTGGCATTGCAATCGGGGATGCCCACACAACGCGATTGCCCCTTCTCCCTTCGCCTCCCGCTCCTCTTCCTTCGTTCTCTTCCCTCCTCCCTCATGTCGCAACTGTATTACCGATCTGTTGTTAGGATCACGGTTCATAGCATGAGGTTGCTTATTGCAGGTCGGTTTGTGCGGTGTGCCCAGTTTGCCTAGTAACTTTCTCATTCGAGATGTGGTCGTGTCACCCGTGGTATTTTGTGGAACATATGTTTCGATTGGGAGCCGCCGAGGGGGATGATGGTCAGGATGAGGAGAAGCAGCAGTGTCAGGAAGAAGGAGAGAGAGGTAGAGGTAAGGGGCGATCACATAACCAGGGGGAGAAGGAAGAGGACAATGAGGAGGAAGAGAAGTCGGGGGGCAAGAGGAAACCAACACGCCTGCCATGTCGGCTTTCTCTTTCAGTATAAGTCAACTTCTTGGCTCTTGGCGGGCTCGCCTGGGCGGTTCGAGAGTTCAGGTGACGGGGTGGAGGAGGAGGAGAAGGAGGAAGAGGAGGAGAAGGACGAGGAGGAGTGGGAAGAGGTGGACTAGCGGAAGGAGGAGTAGGAGAGGGAGAAACGCGATGAGGACTGAGGGGGAAGAGGATGAGGTGGAGGAGAGGGAACAGCAGGACGACGAGGAGTAGGAGGAGAAGAAGCAGGAGTAGGAGGAGAGGGAGGCGGAGGAGGATAAGGAGGGGGATGAGCATCAGGAGGAGAAGGAGGAGGATAAGGAGGAGGAGGAGGAGGAGGAGGAGGAAGGGAAGGAGCAGAAGGAGGAGGGCCAGGCAGAAGAGAAGGAGGAGGAGTAGGAGGAGCAGCAGAAGAGAAGGAGGAAGATGAGGAGGAGGAGGAGGAGGAGGAGGAGGACAGGAGGAAACAGAGGGGCGGGGGAAATCCAGCATGCATCAACGATGCCGCAATCCACCCTCCCGCCCCAAGTTCCCTCCTCATGTGTCCCTACAAGCATCCTGCTCCGCTACGGCAAGCGCCCCCTCTGAAAAACTAGCGCCCGTTGGGTCTGCCACTCAGGCGAGACCCCTTCCATCCTTCGCGCCAGAAGGAACGCAGAAAGGCAGGATTCTGATGTTCGAGGGGAGTTCCAGCGACAGCTTCGTGCTGAAAAGGATCTGCCCTCCATCCGTGTAGGCATGACACCATGGCAGCGTTCCTGGCGAAAAGGTGCGGCAGTTTCAAGCGAGAGCCACATTTCAGAAGGAGCCGCTTTATTTCCGTGAAACCGGTACGCATGTGGGAACTCCGGGTTATGGATTTTGAGCAACTCTAGCCGCATGTTGAAAGCGTGTCGACTCCATCTTTGCAGACGTTGAAATTTTACTACTCGTGTGCGCGGCACTGAGGAGAGCCGCACCTAGAAAACCGCTTGCACTCCATCGCTGTAAGTGTTGGGCTTTTGTAACGAATGCTCGCGGCGCTGAGGCGAGAACCGCATGTTCGACACCACCAGCACTCCATCCGTGCATTTGTTGGAATTGCTAGTCATCTTTGCATGTTGAAAACCATGGCCCTCCATCCGTGTAGCTCTTAGTCCCCTGATACCTTCAGTATGGCAAGCTGCAAGGAAGTCTCGTAGAAACGCCTGGTCTGGCCTAAGGACACGTCTGGTGGCGGTGGCGGAAAGGGGGAGTATTCACAAAGAAGAGGAATGGAAGATTGGACCCTTCGGAAAAACAAGGCTAGGGCTGTCCAGCAAAGGAACATGGGGGTGGTGGAGACCCTGCAACAACGATAGCGATGCAGGGGCCCTACCACGCCATTTGCCATGCCGGACAACCCTGACCTGCGAGCAGTCGGACGGCCATCCCAATGGCTGCAGGTGCCGTTCACCCCCTCATTCGAGGGAGCTTGGGGCCTTGCGCGGCAGCCAGGAGGGATGGATGAGGAGGAGGAGGAGGAGGAGGCGGAGGCGGAGGCGGAGGAGGAGGCGGAGGAGGAGGAGGAGGAGGAGGAGGAGGAGGAGAAAGAGGAGGAGGAGAAAGAGGAGGAGGAGGAGGAGGAGGAGGAGGAGGGAGGAGGAGGAGGAGGAGGAGGAGGAGGAGGAGGAGGAGGGAGGAGGAGGAGGAGGAGGGGAGGGGGAGGAGGAGGAGGACGAGGAGGAGGAGGAGGAGGAGGCGGAGGCAGAGGAGGCAGAGGAGGAGGAGGAGGAGGAGGAGGAGGAGGTGGAGGAGGAGGAGGAGGAGGAGGGCGCGAGGAAGAGGAGGAGGCGGAGGAGGCCTGGAGGAGGCAGCAGCAGAGCGGCAGACGCAGGGAGGCTCTCGGAGGAGCCCTCGCGCCCTGCCGCAGGACGGCTTCGGGCCCGCACCCCTGCTCAACGCCCCCCCCGGCAAGTCGGTGCGCAAGTCAGACGGCGCAGCTGCCAAGGCCGGGAGGTCGAGCGAGGAGCCCAGGAGGAGAAATGCACACCGGGGGCGAGGGCGACGTCCTCCTCTCGGAGGTTTCTGGGCGTCTCTGGAGGTCCTCGTCGCTGCGGCTGGGCGCAGCTCGAGCACCTGGCCAGGACGGACCCAGGGGGCGTCCAGGGACAGATTTGGGCAGTGTTTTTTTGGCGTGGGCAAGCATCTCGATTCTGATGCCCCTCTCTAGTTTTCGGCTTTGCGGGCTTCCCGCTGGGCCCTCGTCGCCACGGCTGGATCCGCCTCGGAATCCTGGTCAGAAACCACCCTGAGAGAGATCTGGAGAGCAGCCGTATTGGTATGTTGCTGTCTACCCAGAGGAGCAGGCCAAGGCGTTGGAGGAGTTCTTCGAGAGGCAGGACAAACTCCTAGAGGCCCTCCTCCACCGCCGGAGTATGTGCATGCCCGTCGCTTCGGAGTCGTGCCCCAGGACCCCATGACGCATTAGTGTTCGATCCCTGCGGCCAGACAAATACCCATCCACCGCTCCCGCGGGCCAGGGGTGTGACCCAACCAGCAGTGGATTTGGATATGTATAAGTCGTCGGCGCTTCTTCTCTTTTCTCCTTCCTCTCTTTCGCACTTTCGCACGCTCGGCCACGGGGGGGAGTGCTCCGCTGGGACCAGGTGGGATGGACCGATCGCCTTCGCCGCGTTGCTGTTAATGAAAAAGGCTTGCCCATAAATGTTCTTATTTTGCCCGTACGTATTTACGTCTTGATCCTGGTCCGCCCACTACTTTCTTTGCCCTTGCGCTATCTTGGGCATACGCATGGCTTCCTCTTTCTATTCCTGTAGACTCCTAATGGTTATTCCACTGGCGGCTATCCCAAGGGATTTCCATGCATATTCACCTATCCTGCCCTATCTTATCTTATGTGTACCAGATCCTGTGCTGATGCTTATGTTATCGTATCTTGGTGTCCCCTAACATCTGTTACCCTATTATTTCCTTCATGTACGATCCTGCCCTGTCGTGTCTTTTCCGGAGCGTGAGGAGGGAGGGAGGGAGGGAGGGAGGGAGGGAGGGAGGGAGGGAGAGAGGGAGGGAGAGAGGAAGGGAGGAGGAGGAGGAAGAGGAGGAGAAGGAGGAGGAGGAGAAGGCGGAGGTGGAGGAACGTATGCCCACCTACCCCATCCTATCCATTTCTATGCTATCGGCGTCGCTATCGCGCCCTATTCTATCATACGCCATCCTCCCATGTCCTATACTAACTACGCAATCTTATCTGATCCCGGGAGAGACAAGGGAGGAGGAGGATGAGGAGGAGGAGAAGGAGGAGGAGGAGGAAGACAAATAATGGAGAAGGAGAAGGAGAAGGAGAAGGAGAAGGAGAAGGAGAAGGAGAAGAGGCGAGGAGGAGGAGGAGGAGGAGCCTGGAGGAGACGGACGAGCAGGGCCCGAGGCCGCACCGAGAGCGGGCGCGCCGGCGCGGAGAGCGAAGAGCGCGAGAAGACGCGGCCAAGGCGCTCCCGCTCGCAGCCGCTCGCCCGCCTCCCCCCTCCACTGGGCGCCCCCCTCGGCCACTTCCGAGTTACGGCCGGCTCCCGTCATTTGGTCGGGGAGTGCCAGGGGGAAGGTCCGGGAAGGGCCCCGAGGACGTACGGCGGATCTCGAAGGGCCTTTTCCCTTGGCGCAGGGCCGTGGCATCCACCTTGGCGGCCGCCGGCAGCACCGTCAGGCGAGCACGCTCGCTGCCCTCCTGGACGCCCCCCTCGCTGGTCGCCCCCAGCTGCCATCGGCGGGCGCGCCGGGCGCGCATGCGCGGCGGCCTCGGGAGCGGCCGCGCCCACAGGGGGCCGCTCCAACAGGCGCGGGCAAGGCGCACTGGACCGCGGCGCGGCCACGCCCGCGACAGGGGGCAGGCGGGCTCGACACGAGGTGGCGCCTGCGAGGTGGAGGCGGAGGAGGAGGCGGAGGAGGAGGAGGAGGAGGAGGCGGAGGAGGAGGAGGCGGAGAGGAGGAGGAGGAGGAGGAGGAGGAGGAGGAGGAGGAGGAGGAGGAGGAGGAGGAGGAGGGGGAGGGGGAGGGGGAGGCGGAGGCGGAGGAGGCGGAGGAGGAGGAGGAGGAGCAGGAGGCGGAGGCGGAGGCGGAGGCGAGCCGTTGCCCGACTCGGGGGCGCAGACCCCCCCGGCAGGCCCTCGACACAGGGGTGAAAGGTCCCGCAGCGGGCGACAGGCCAAGCGGGGCACCCGGCGATGGCCGCCGAGGAGCCTGCGGCGCTCCTCGGCACCGACGTGTGCAGCGCTGCGAGGGGCTGCCCGATGGCGAGGCGGCCCAAACATGCAACGGCAGCATAATCCACCCCTCCAAGGTTCGGAGGTTGATAGACCTCCTACCCTGACACGTTGATCAGCGAATTGGCCGTTTTCGGTTCGCGAGAGGGCGTCGATGTACGGTCGAGAACTTTTGGTCAGCGTGTCGCTCCGCGGGTTTTGGCCCACCACGCGTCGGCGCGACACGCTGACCACGTCCTGGACCCCACGCGTCAACGTCCCGAGCCTTCCCCAGCGTCCCGCCCCGCGGAGGGGAGCAGCGCGCCATCTGCCTGCAGGGCACAGCGTGTGCCCGGTGCCGCCGCCGCCGCGATACGCCAAGCCAGAGTTCCCGGCCGTTAGCGATGAAGCACGCACGGCGCCCGCTTTCTGTTGGCGACGCGCACAAGGGGGCAGGGGGAGGGGGGAAGGCTTATTACTAATAAGCCTAAGCAATGTAACTGCTGTCCAGAAACGCCATAATCGCTATCTGGAAACGCGGCAATAGCTGAGTTACTTGTTTAGAAACGCCATGATAGCCGTTTAGAAGCGCGATGACCGCTGTTTGGAAACGTTGCGTTAGCTGAGTTAGCTATTTAGGAAAGCCACACGAGCTGCTTTAAAACGCTATAGCCGCTGTTTGGAGACGCTGTGGACTCCATACTAGCTGTTTACAAACGCCATACCCGCGGTCTGAAAACGCGGCAGTAGCTGAGTTTGCTGTTCAGGAACGCCGTACTAGCTGCTTAGAAGCGCGATCGTCGCTGTCAGGAAACGCTGCAGACGATACAAATAGCTGTGCAGAAACGCTGTGATCGCTGCTTGGAAAAACGCCGTTCGTCGGCGCCCAGTCGGCGCCTGGCTGACGCATCGCTGTCTCGCCGCTCGGTTTCAGCCGCGAGGCCCCGAACAGAGGGGCACTCGTCTTAAAGCTCCACGCCCTACTTGATTTATCAGAAGCACCCCTGCTTGTTAGGAGGCACGGACCTTGTCTGTAGATGTAAGGCCCGCGCCGTCCAAGAATCAGCCTCACCGTCAGAAGCATTCCCCCCTCCCCCTGCCCCCCTATGCTCGCCGCCAGCGATGGATCGCGCCGCATCGCCGATGCCTCGGCGATGCGGCTCGATGCGGAGCCCGATGTTCTTCACGCCGACGTCGCCGACGCACCGCCGATGCATCGGTGGTGCTGCGACGATTCCGCGAGGCCCTCCCCGGCTCCGTAGCAGGCCCTCCCCCTGCTCTTGCTGTGCGCGCCGCCAAGAGCAGGCGCGCGCGGCGGCGCCAGGGAGTCGGCTCCTCCGCGACGGCCAGGGTCGCGGAGAGACGGCCTCCCCGCGGAGCCGGGCAGCACGCGTTGCTCGGCCTCGTCCTCCTGCTTCGGCTCTGTGTCGGCATCGCTCGGGCGTGCGCATTTTTCCCCAGCGAGGGCCATCGCGGAGCATCCTGGGCGCAAACTAATGACGGGGCGGTAAATGGAGGGGAAGCGAGGGATGCAGAGAAGGGACCCTGCAGGGCCCTTAAAGGGGCCCTTTGGGGCCTCAGAGGGGGCCTTCAGGGCCCGAAAATGGCACCTTTCTTCCCCTCCCCCAGTTATCTCCCCCAGTCAATCGCGCCCAAGCATCTTGGATCATATCGCGAGCAAAAAACACACGCATGAGACCGAACGATGTACGGGGAATGGACTTCCGAGCGACGGACAGTCTTTCTCCACTTTGTCATCCTCGCCTACCTTCATCGCCTTCGCTTTCTTTGCTGTGGAAAGTCAGGGTTGAAGTCCGCGTTGGTATAATTGCTCTTGTGCTGCTGTGTGCGACCGTCCGCTGACCCCCAGAAGAGGAGACGTGCGTCTTCCGATCTTGTATGTGTTGTTTGCCACTTCCCGTCGTGATGTCTGTGTGGGGTTGTTGGTTTGTGCACCTGTTCTTATGCGTCTGTTGCGAGGCTTCTTGGGGTCCTCTCGGAGGCCTCGGGGGCAACCTCCTGGGACCCTTTTCAAGGCTCTTGGGGGCTTCTTGGGGGCATCTTGGGGGCATGTTGTTGGTTGTCTTGGGAGCCATCTTGCGGGGAGGGACCCCAGGGCCCCCACGAGTGCCTCTCCGGCCCCTCGTGGGGCCCTTTTGAAGGTCTTTTTGGCAGCCCAGGGGGCATTTGGACAGTCGTGGGGCCCTCTTGGGTCTCTTGGGCCATCTCCGGGGTCCTGCTGGAAGTCTCGTCGGCCGTGTTCGGCCAGTCTCGGGGGCTTCTTGGGCCGTCTCGGGGGTGCAGAAGCCCAGAAGGGCGAGAATGCGAACATCATTTCAAACCATATGAAAGTCACAGATTTGGGTCTCTTGAGGCCGTCTCGTGGACCCTATTGGGGCCTGTTTGGGTGTCTTCCAAGCCTCTTGGGTCTTCTTGAGGCAATCTTGGATGTCCTAGAGACCTCTCTGGCGCGTTGGGCCTCTTCTTGCGCCATCTTAGGCGGCATCCCTTCCCCGGTTGGGGCCTTCAACGTGGAGTCAGAGGCCTAGACACGCACTTCTTCTTCGTCGGCACCCCGGGGCGTTGCGTCCTCTATAAATCGCTGGTCGTTGAGTTCTCATCTGTCCCACGGCCGACTTCTTTCTGTCCCTTTCCTTTGGCGGAGATCTTCTTATCCTGCATGTCCATCGGTGGCTACATGGCCGCCGTGTGTGCGCCTTTGGCCACCAGCGCCTGGCTACACATGACAAGGAATTCACACCCATTTTGGCGTGAACTACATCATCATGATGTTCAACTGGTTCGAGACCGATTTCTTTTCGGACATCTTCTTCAACGTTTGTGGACCCTAGGCCAGAGTCAGCCTGGTTCACATTCAGAAGCACAGTCTTGGGCGGCATCTTCGGCATGCTGGAGGCGTCGGAGGTGGATCTAGAGGCTCCAAGGGCCCTGGAGGTGCGTTGGCGAGCTCGTGTCACCCACCCGCCCCCTCAAGCGGGAGCTTTGACCCCAGGGCAGGGGCAGAGAGGGGAGGATGACCGCCAGGTGTCTCACGCGCCGTCCCACCCGCAGCAAGCGTTAGTCTGTGGATTTCCTGAGGCCTTCTCTCGACCAGCTTCAGTTGGGCAGGCGAGCGTGTTGTTCGTGAGCCTATAGCTCGGCCGCGCGCAGAGGGGGGTATGGGGGAGGGGGGAAGGCTTCTTAGAAGCACCCCTGCTTCTTAGAAGGCGCGGGTCTTCTCTATACATGCAAGGCCAACGCCTTCTAAGAAGCAAGACCTTTCTAAGAATCCTTCCCCCCTCCCCCTACCCCCCCCCACTGCGCGCCGCAACATAACTTCATGACTTCTGATTGCATGGTTTTCTGAGATCACGCGCAACCTTCAGCAACTGGGGGACGTTATGCCAGCCCGCGGCGTCGCCTGATCTTTGGCAGCCTCGCCTTGCGTTCACCATCTGGAAAGCGCGATGTGTTGGCTAACGATCGCTCTGGGTCCTCCCTGGCAGGGAGTGAGGGGGAGGGCGGCGGAGAGAGTAGAGCACACACGGAGGAGAAGGGATGGCAATGGGCCCGCAGAAGACATCTCTCTCCCTCTCTCTTTCTCTTTTTATGTCTCTCTCGCTCTCTCTCTCTGTCTCTCTCTGTCTCTATCTCTCTCTATATATATATATACACAGATATACTGCCAAACGAAGCATACCAGGGCGCAGGATGGCCCTGGCCAGGCGCGCCGATGCTGGATGCATAAAGAGCGGTCCCGCCAGAAGCAGCGCGCGCAGAGGCCGGACCAGGAGCCGGTGGCGGCCTCAGCTCGGCTTGGCGGAATGGGCGCGGGCCGGCCGCAATCGGTCGCCAGGTCTGCAGCGTCGGAAGCCGACGGCCACGAGCACAACGCATGTGTGGGTAGATGGGTGGTTTCGTAAGCACGTATATACACATGAGTAGATGCTAATGTTTAGTCATAGACCTGTATGTATATATTTGTATGCGCATAGTTGCATGTACATCAGGTGCTCGTGCGCGAGACGTGCAATCGCGCTGCTGGTGGGACAATGCAAAGGGTGACGAGTGTGGTTGTCTGTATGATCTACTTTCTACCGTCTGCTCTCTGCACTTCCCCTCTGCATCTCATCTATACCCTCTACTCTCCATTTGTTCTAGAACTTCCATTTTCTTTCTTCCCCTCTGCACTTGTTGTTCTCCACTCTGTTGTTCGGCGTTCTGCGCTTTGCGCTCTGCTGCGTGCCTTCTACTATCTGTTTTACATTATCGGTTCTTCAATCGAGGTTATATCCTTTATCCTCTTTCTGCTCTCTGTACGTCATATGTTCGATTCTAGCTTATATCCTGCCCCTACTCCCTATATATACATATATATATATATATATATATATTCAAGCGGCGTGCGCCATGCCGCCGACCCCCAGACGAAGTGAGGAGCCAGTGGAAAATGCTGGGGGGAGTCATGGCCCTCAGCGTTGTACCCCACATCTGCACCCATTCGGGTCTCCTGTCTGCTCGGCAAGGGGACAGCCAATCATCTCGCGCGACTCTGCAGCCCAAGGAGGCGGACGTCGGCGGATTCAGACAACGATACACACGCTCCGCTAATCCATGGAAACTCCACCTTCACAGAGGGGTTGGTAGGAGGGTGAGAATGAGGAGGAGGAGGAGGAGGAGGAGGAGGAGGAGGAGGAGGCGGAGGAGGAGGAGGAGGAGGAGGAGGAGGGGGGGGAGGAACAGAGAGAGAGAGAGAGAACAAAAAGAGAGAGAGAGAGAGAGAGAGAGAGAGAAAATCATAAACAGAAAGAGACAGAAAAAGAGACAGAGAGAGGCAAATGTGTTGGACGCATCTGAGGGTCTCTTGGAATGCCCCTTGGAGGCATCTGGGTGGCTTTTTCGGGCCTCTCCTGGGGTTATTGAAGGCCTCTTGCGGGGTTTTGGGGGGTTTGTCGGGGGCTTCTTGGGGACCTCTTGGAGCGATCGTGCCCGATCGCAACCACTTCGGACTGATCGTCGACCACTTGGGGCGCATCATAACCTGTTGCGATCGTGCCGAAGTGGCTGGGATGTTTTTTGGGCGCTTTAGGTTTTGTTTTGATTAAGAGAAGGCTCTCAAGAGCGCTTCTGGATGCAGTGAGTTCTCTTAAATCTCTCGATTTGACTTCGAGAAAGCAGTTGCTATCGGGATACGGTTCGCCACTTCGACCAGTACCTTTTGGAATTCACACGTGCTGCATTGCAATGTACTTCGATAATTCAAAAGCCCCAAGATTCTTGATACATGTATCATGATCCCTCCCGCTCCCTCAGGGTTCCACGGGAGACCTCCGGACCCCATAGGATGCTGCTGGATCCCTCAGGTTACGCTTTGCAACCGTTTCAGGCTCTTCAGCGGTTCTTCATCAGCTCCTCAGGAGCTCTTCCGAAGCTCTTCAGAAACTGTTCGTGCAACGCGTGGCATTTTGTTCACTCGCAATGAGAAACCGAAATCAGAGCCTAAGTGGCAACGGGAAGAGGAGTGGTGGATGGGGGAGAAGAGGAGGATGACCAGGAGCGGAGGATGACAAAACGCGCACACACAAGTCCAGGCTTCCCAGGCGCTTCTCGGGGTCTTCTCAGATGCTCCTACAAGCCTCGTCAAAAATAAACTGAGGGCTTCAAAAATCCGACGACCCCTCCGCAGCATTGAAGAACGCAGTTTCTAACAAGTGCCCGAGAAGATCGATCGTTTCCAACTGCGTTTCTGTTTATTTTTGACGAGGGTTGTACGAGGCTTCCCAAAGGTTTCCCAGAGGCCTCTTAAAGGCTCCCCATGGGCTTCTCAGAGACTTCTACCAGGCTTCCCTGAGGCTTCCACGAGGCTCCCCACAGGCTTCCCAGAGGCTTGCACGAGGCTCCCACAAGGTTTCCCAATGGTTTCCCAGATGCTTCTGCGAGGCTTCCCATCGGCTTCTCAGAGACTTCTTCGCAGAGGTTTCGCAGTGGTTTCTGCTGAGAGACTTCTTCTCAGAGGATGTTTCTCACAGGCGCCTTCCCAGAGGCTTCTCAGATGGGGCTTCCACTGGTTGTAATCCTGTGCTTCCCCTTGCCTACCGTATAGGAGTCCTTCAGATTGGGATCAATCCGTTTCCAGTGGTTGTGATCTGCCCCAAGTATTTCGTTGGCGGTCCGAAGTGGTTGGAATCAGCTGAATCCCACCTCTTGGAGGACTCTTGGGGCCTCTTGGAAGCGCCTCAGAGGCCCCTGGAGGGCTCCTGGGGCCCTCGAGGTGGGAAGGGCTCGACATGTAAGTTCGCATTCCCCCTCTTGGGTCCTCTCGGGCCGTCTTGGGGGACCCTGGGGCGGTTTTGATGCCCTTTTGGACCGTCTAGGGGCACCTTCGGAAACCCCAGGGGTCGTCTTGGGACGCTCTTGGGGGGCCCTTTGGGCTGTCTTGGAAGCTGCCAAGACGAACAGGGCGAACATGATGCTAAAATGCACGCCTTCCGAAAGGGATGGGACATGATGGGACGATGTTTGCTTCTTGAGGCCTTGTCCGACGGACTCGTGAGCGGTCTCCAAACCATCTCTGATTGTCGTGGGATTACCTTGGGCCGTCTCGCGGCTGCGGAGGCCCCGAGGGCGCGCTGATGAGCTCGTCCCACCCCCTTCCTGGTCCCCTCCCAGGCCCCCCCCCCCCCCCCGGGGGCCCCTCCGGGTTGCCCCCCCCCCCCCTCCCCCCGTCGGCCTCCCCCCCCTTTCGAATTACATTCCAGATTCCCGGGGGAGGTGGAGAGAGGGACGGGGACAGCAGCCAATCATCTCAGAGGCTGCTGCACCCCTGGCAAGCGGGGATCGGCGGGTTCTTTCTTTCTATACGTGCAGGCGCGTATCCTTGGATGTGCATCCACATGTGTATGTACGAAATAGCGTGTTCTACCGCTGCTGGCGGAAAACCGAGGGGGTCACTGGGGGTTCCCAGCCCGTCTCCCCCCCCTCGAAAACTGAGGGGGGGGGTCACTACCGGTTCGAATTCCCCTGCTCCCCAACCCCCCCCCAGTCCACCATGAAAAGGAGGAGGGGTCACTACCGGTTCGAACCCTCCCCCCCCTCCCACGCCAGCAGACAATGCCCGCGCTCCTCGGGACAGTGGGACAGTGGTGGGTCATTTGGGACAGTGGTGGGGACGGTGGTGGTGGGGACAGTGTTGTGGGGACAGTGGGACATTGGTGAGGACAGTGGGACAGTGATGGGGACGGTGGTGGTGGGGACAGTGGTGAGGGGACAGTGGGACAGTGGTGGGGACAGTGGTGAGGACTGTGGTGGGACAATGGGACGGTGGTACAGTCGGGAGAGTGGTGGGGACAGTGGGGACAGTGGGACAGTGGTGGGGACAGTGGGGACCGTGGTGGGCACAGTGGGACAGCCGTGGGGACAGTGGGGACAGTGGGTCAGCGGCGGGGACAGTGGGGACAGTGGGACAGTGGCGGGGACAGTGGGGACAATGGGGAGTGGGACCGTGGTGGGGACAGTGGTGGGGACAGTGGTGACAGTGAGACACTGGTGGGGGCACTGGTGGGGACAGTGGGAACAATGGTGGGAACACTGGGGACAGTGGGATAGTGGTGTGGTGGGGACAGTGGGACAGTTGTGGGGACGGTGGTGGTGGGGAAAGTGGTGTGTGGACAGTGGGACTGTGGTGGGGACAGTGGGGACAGTGGGACAGTGGTGGGGACGGTGGTGGTGGGGACAGTGGTGAGGTCGGTGATGAGGACGGTTGTGGGAGAATGGGACAGTGGTACAGTGGGGACAGTGGTAGGGACAGTGGAGACAGTGGTGGGAACAGTGAGACAGCTCAGTGGGACAGTGGCGGGGACAGTGGGGACAGTGGCACAGTGGTCGGGACAGTGTGGAGAGTGGGACCGTGGCAGGAACAGTGGTGGGGACAGTGGGGACAGCGGGGCCGAAACCAGCTGCATGCAGCAGATTTCGTACCCCCCCTTTTCCCTATCCCCCCCCCCTCGTTCGCCCCGACACCTCCACGCGCAAGCTGCAAGGCGCTTGGGCGAGGACCACTTCCCACCCGCTCTCGCGCGGCTTCGCTGCCGCAGCCCCTTACGTGCGACTCAGCGAGCCACACCTGCGCCGCGCCGAAAAAGGAACGCCGCTTCCAGGCGAAGTGTGCACGCAGCTTGGGCGAGGGCGATAAATCGCCCGCTCGCGCGCGGCCCCCCCCCCCCAACGACTTGGCGCCAGGAGCGTCGAGGGCGCGCCGCCGCGGCGAGAACACGCCGTGTTCTCGCAGCAGCGCCGCGCCAGGATGTTCTGCAGCTCCGCTCCCGCCCGCGCGCGGCCCTTCTCTTGTCCATTCCCTCGCCAAGTCATCGGACGCGGGTTCGCGCGCAGACGGCTTCCGTTCGCCAGGTGGGATCGCATCCCAGTCCCAAGATCGAGCTGTGCCACCATTGGTTCCTGTGGAAAGCGATGAGGAGGAGGAGGGGGAGGAGGAGGAGGAGGAGGAGGAGGAGGAGGAGGAGGAGGAGGAGGAGGGGAGGAGGAGGAAGAGGGAGGGGAGAGGGGAAGAGGAGGAGGAGGAGGAGGAAGAGGAGGATGATGAGGAGGAGGAGGGGGAGGAGCAGGAGCAGAAGTAGGAGGTCATAGGGGGGCCGGGTGGGAGTGGACGGGGCCCACTGACTCGTTCGACCTGGCCGACTTGACCTCCCCTCCCGCTCCTCCCGCCCCTCCCGACGGTGCCCAGGTCCCTCGCGAGACTCGCCGCTTCGACACCTCCCCGAGGCCGACTCGGAGCACCCCCGTCTTGGAGCAGGCGAGAGGCCCGGACCGCCACGGGGAGAGTGGCGAGCGCGGCCGCCATGCTTGCTGCACGGCTGCGTGTGCAGTAGGTCGGATGGTGGTGAGAAGGACGAGCAGCAGCAGCAGCAGTCGGAGGAGGAGGAGGAGAAGACGAATCATAATGATCACGATAGTAGTAATAATAATAATAATAGTCATAATCATCATCATCATCATCATCATAATCATAATCATAATAACAACAATAATAACAACAATATTAATAATAATAGTAATAATAATGATGATAATGATAATAATGAGAATAATAATAATAAGTATAGTAGTAATAATAAGAATAATCATAATAATAATAACAATAATCATAATCATAATAATAATAATAACAATAATAATAATAGTAATAAGAACAACAACAAAATTATTAATACTAATCATGGTAAGGCGAATAATAAGAAGAAGAGGGGAGGAGGACCATCATCAGCAGGAACATCAGTAGGAGGAAGGGGAGGAGGGGGAAGAGGAGGGGGAGGGGGAGGAGGGGGAGAAGGTGGAGAAGGAATATTGGAAGGAAGACAGAGGGAGAAGGGGACGAAAAATGAGCAGGAGGAGGAGGGCATGGAGGAAGAGGAGGAGGAGGAGGAGGAGGAGGAGGAGCGGTAAGGCTCAGCTTCGGTCCATTCCTGTCACGAACTCGCACATCTGGTCGACGAGGGGAGGAGCAGCCCTGGGTAGTTCGGTGCATCGTTCAGTCGCGTGTTGCTTGAGCGGGCCGGAGCAGAGTCATCGTCGCACCTCGCTTCTTGGGTGTCCAGTCTACGCTCCTTGGACTTTTCATACCCTTGAGCAGAGTTGACCGCTCTCCGGACTTCTACTCCACGCTGTCTCTAGGTCTTTGCTGTAGCACAGCGAATGCAACGGCTAAGCGATGCGCTCGGCGACCATCATGGCGCACTCGTTTTCGTCCGCGCGGGCAGGCAAGAAACTGTTCGGCAGCAGATGCCCTTCGGTTGCTTCTTGACCTCAAGTATCCATGAGGGGCCATCATCGAGCGCCACATTGAAGCGATTGGAGTGCCGAAGTTTTGGCAGGGCGATCGATGATACATGTAGTGCCGAGGACGATATCACGACGTAGACACGATGGCTTAGGGGGGCATTCACAGCATTATGTAAATGCGCAGAAGGGCAACCGTTGGGCAGCAATGTGTGCTGTTCTTGCTCAAGAGTCCTGGCTCTCCGGTTTCCCCTGTGGGCTCCCTGACAGCGCTGCGAGACATGCGCTTCGCACTCCTCGCCGCGGTTTCTGTGGCGCCCGCTTCCAGTAGCATGGTCGCGTCCCCAGCCGACAACAGTGATTTCGCTGCACCGGTCCAGCGCTGCGATACGAGTGAGATTGGGGACGACCTCTCGCCCTAAGCTGTGCGATGTCGTGGAGGATTGCCGGACGTGTACGTCCCAGGCCTCGCTTCAAGCACGGCCTCTGATTGCGCAAGCACGCTGCCGAGTCGTTCAAACTACGCGAGCACGCACAGCGTCGCGGACAGCCGCCGCGCGCCGAGAGTGCCCCGACATGCTCCAAGGCAAGGCGCGGTGCGCCTGCTGCTTGAGGTTGAGGCCGAGCTCGGCTTTCAAAGCACAAGCGCGGAGTCCCCTCAGGCCCTCGTGGACGTCGTGATTCGCAGCTGGACCCTGCTCCGATACCGTGGCCGCCTTGGGGCCGTGTGGTGCGCTCGGACTCGTCCGCGCGTAATTACTCCGGGCCCGTCGGGTCGCAGGGGCGCGGTGGCATCCCTCCGCGCACTCACGTGTGGCTGTTGCATCATACTGCGTCAGATGACTGGCCCCCGGCCCTCCTCCCCCTCCCCGGCCCCCTTCCCCACCTGCCCCCCCCTTGCCCCGGCCCTCGGACCTTCGACGCAGCGGGCCTGCGCCCTCCCCGAGCCATGGGAGCCACTCCGCCGCCGAGCCGCGGGACTCACGGCGCCCTCTGGCCTGGGGGGGGTGCGAGCTCTCTCTGCCCCCTTTCCCCGCTCCTGCACCCCCCCCTCCCCTCGCTCCTGCCCCCCTCCCTGCCTCTCCCTGCCCCCGCGCGCCCTCCCTTCCCCCCCCTCGGCTCCCGGGAGGCTTTGGCCCCCTGCAGCTCCTGTCCTTCCGTCCGGACGACTCCAGCCAGCCGCTCTCTCCGTTAGGCGCCCTCCCCCCGCCACTCGCCGGCCCTGGCAGCGCTGTCAGCGGGCGCAAGAGGGAAATTCGGAGGAAGGAGGAGGGAGGAGGAAGGAGGAGGAAGGAGGAGGGAGGAGGAGGAGGAGGAGGACCAGTGCAAACCCAAGAGTCATCAACGATGTTGGCATAAACCCTCCCTACAAGCTCCCTCTTCATGGGCCCCATACAGCGGTTCATTTCCATTGAGGGAGCTGTGTTGGAAGACAACCGTTTGAAGACCCTGAAGCATGCCAACACATTGTTCTCGGGATTCCAACGCCACGGATCAAACTGACTGTTGCGTTTGAACGCTCCTAAATCGTGCCAGAACGCCGTTCTTGGCACTTCAACACCGCGAATGAATGCAACTGTTGCGCCCTCCTAATCCTGAATCCTTCCAACACACAATTTCTGGCATTTTCTCCAAATAGGTTTGCCTTATAGGAGTCCTAGCTCAAACCCTACTAATTGGTCCGTTGCCCCTTCCCACCCTAACTCCTATGCCCCCCCTAATTCCTATGCCTATGCCTATGCCTATGCCTATGCATCCCCCTAGTTCCTATGCCTACGCCTATGCCTATGCCTGCCTGCTTGCTTGCTTGCTTGCTTGCTCGCGCTCTTGCACACTTGCTTGCTTGCTTGCTTGCGCGCTTGCGCGCTTGCTTGTACGCTTGCTTGCTTGCTTGCTGAGTTGCGGATTCCAAGCATGCTTGATTCCTCTGATTCCTTGATTTTAGTCGTCTAATCTATTTGGAGTCAACGCTGGCTGATCTGATCATGGGAATCCGTAAAACTCTTGCGAATTATATTAACGAATGTGCGCGGCGCTAAGGGGGGAACCACATTTTGAAAAGCAGCCGTCTCAATCCGTGCAACTCTTGCACATAATTAGAACGAATGCGTGCGGCGCTAAGGCGAGAGCCACATTTTGAAAACGGGCTCCTTTCGATCCGTGAAACTCTTGCAAATGTTTAAAGCACATGTGCGCGGTGCTAATGCGAGAGCCACATTTCGAAAACGACACGCCTTTTATCTGATCTGTGAAACTGTTGCCATGTTTGAAGCTTCAGGGTCATATGGTGAGGAAGTCTCAGGCGAAACGCCTGGCCCGCCCTAAAAACTGGCCTCGGGGTGCGACAGGGAGAAGTTGTTTATAAGGAAAAGGGATGGAGGAGGAGGAGGAGGAGGAGGAGGAGGAGGAGGCGGAGGAGGAGGACGAGGAGGGGGAAGAAAATAGCGGAGGAAAACGGAGCAGGAGATATATTGAGCGGATTTCGGCCGCCGTTTCCCCCGAAGAGGGCAACGCCGCCGAGAAGACGGCATCATGAGTTGCCCCCCGGAAGACCCAGAGCACCATCGCGTCTTGAACAAATTAGGACGGGGAGGGGGGGTCGGCAATACTCGGCCTCCCTCGTCGGGCCCCGGGACGGTCCAGTCGTTCGGTCTGGTCCGGTGTGCTTTCGGGCCGGTTCAGCCGGTCCAGTTCAGAACCTCGTCGACCAGTCCGGTCCAGCCGGTCTGGTTCGAGTTGCGCATCAGTTCCGGTTCGGATCGGTTCGGCCGGTTTAGCGGCAAGGGGAGGTGGAGGAGGAGGAGAAGGGGGAGGGGGGGAGGAGGGGGAGGAGGACGAGGAGGAGGAGGAAGAGGAGGAGGAGGGGGAGGAGGAGGAGGAGGAGGAGGAGGAGGAGGAGGAGGAGGAGGAGGGAGGAGGGAGGGTGAGGGAGGAGGAGGGGGAGGGGGAGGGCGGGGGAGGATGAGGAGGGAGGAGGGCAGAGGAGGAGGAGGACGACGGCAGCGGTGGCGGCGGCGGCGGCTTGGCCGCCGTGGCAGCGGGGCGCGCGGGGCGCGCCTGCCGCCGTGGCAGCCGCGGCAGCCGTGGCAGCGAGGTGCCTCGGCAGCCACGGCAGCCGTGGCAGCGAGGTGCCTCGCCGCCGCCGTCGTCGCCGCCGTCGCCGCTGCCTCCCTCTCGGCGTCGCCGTCGCCGCCGGGTTCTGCCTCTGGAGGCCGTTATTCGGGCGCTGGAGCCGCCAGAAAACAAGTCCGGGCCGAAAAAACACCCCCCCGGGGAAGTCGTTCGGGCCCGAAAACCCCCCCCCCCCAGGGAAGTCGTTCGGGCCCGAACGACTTCCCGCCCGGGGAAGTCGTTCGGGCCCGAAAAAACACCCCCCCCGGGGAAGTCGGTCGGGTCGGGGGGTCGGGGACGAACACCCCCTCCCCCCGGGAAGTCGTTCGGCCCCAGGGGCCGGCCCCTGGGGCCCCGCGGATTGAAAGAAGAAACGCGTCTTCGACGACGGTGGCGACGCCGGAGGCCCTCGGCCGCCGGGGCCCCCGTGGCTGCCGGGGGTGTGGGGGGGTTGGCATCGGCATCGGTTGCTGCGAGCGGCTGCGTGGGGGTGGAGGGGCTGCCGCGGGGGGGGGGGGCTCTGCTTTTTCGGGGGAATGGCTGCCGGGGGGGGGGGGGCGGCCCTCGGCTGCCGGGGGGGGGGG